CTGGGAGCCTGGCCCACTCCTAGCCCCTATAATGCATTCTTACACGGCATTTTTTAGTAGGAACGCCGGCTCTTATACTCGGCCCCTCAACTGGATAGGGTAAATGCCGAATAGAAGTCACGTTCGGGGCCGACTTATCTTACTCTCGTTGATCCAGAATTTATCGGCTCCCACAATTGGTAATATCAGCACACAGTATAACTGTTATACACAATATTTAATCCAGACGGATTTGAAACTCAAACATTGAGAGGTTAGAAGGAAAATATGGGGTGGCTCTAGTTGAGCGCCTAGTGCATCGAATTAGTTATTTAAATTATTGTTTATGGCCAATTGAAATGATTAAAAATTATAAAAATTGAGACGTAGTATGACCTTCTCATAGAATTATCTTAATATTATTCAATGTGGTAAGCTTCACAAATGATCCAATTAAAAAATTATTTGGAACTCGTCTATTTTTTTCTTGCAAAAGTCTAAGGAGGGGTAGGCTCGATTCGCAAGTCATCAATCGGTGCAAATTCATTGCGTGATGACTTATGAACCAATGGATACAATTTCAATAAATGCACAATGAAAGACTCATGAACTTCCTCCCTATCATGATATTGATAAAGGGAAATGGTTGACATCGACTCTTGAACCATTTTCATCACTAACAAGTATGAAATGACTCAAGCCTCAATGGGTTCAATTAACGTCCAATTGAACCCAAACCATTTTATTATCTAGCTCCATTTTAAGCTATTGATTACCCATTTTTAATTACCTTTCCATTCATTAATCATTTTAGTCCAAAATGAGCATTAAGTCCACTAAAGGAGGGAAGTGTCAAACAAAGGGTTGTTTTTGGGCATGAGAGAGATGTCATGCCGTTGGTAATGAACTTCTGAAGAGATTAAACCATTAAGCACAACAATCTCTATCTCAAGCTTAAACAAACAATCGATTTGAAATGACTCTCAAAGCAAGAAAGAAGCCAAGAAAAGAGAAAAGTGCAGAGATGATTAGAGATGATCACAAGTATGGAAAGCTTGAAATAAATGCTATCAACTCAAATAGGTTGGTGTTTAATGCCTAAAACACCAAACCTACGAGGACCATTACATTACAAGCATGCAATGCAAAGCATAAATGAAACTAACACATGAAAATAGTCCTAAATTAGCCCAAAACAGTGCTGAAATTAAGGTAAAAATAGCTAATTGAGTAAGCCAAAATAATGGAGAATTTAAGCTAGTAAATAAGCCAAAGGAGAGGAGGCTAACCCCTCCATGTTTGAGACTTCAAAACCATATTTTTGCCTCTGAAAAAATTTCTAAAAATCAATTTTTAAAAGCTCAAAAAAAGATAACTAAAAGATAGAAAACACAAGAGTAAAGGCCTAAGAAGCAAGGTTCAAGGAGAGGAGATCCACCCCTCTACCTTTAGTGGCCTTAAACCACAAGTTTCAGCCCATAAATACAGATGAAAAACAGTACAAAAAACAACAATAAATAATGGTCAATGAATAAGGGAAAGAAGCTTGGAGTTATACCTTTTGAAGAGGAATGACCCTTTGAATCACAAACCACTAATTTCACACCCTCAAGAGCTTAAAATGCAAGCTCAAACACTTTAGCAAATAACTCTCAAAGTTTGGTTTGGAGTGCCTAGGCAAAGGGTATATAAGTTGTAAGAGAGAGAGAAATGTAGAGAGAAATATTTTTGCTTTCCAAAATTTTCTAACCCTAATTTTTGAGAGAGAGTCCTTTATATATAGAAATATATGAAAGGCTCTCGAAAATATCCATACAGATATAGCTAAGGCAGTGCATGCATCTGTGGAGACAACTGGCACAGTTGGCAAAAATATCTGAAATTTTACACAAGTAGCTGGCAGGACACTAATAATGGGCGGCAGGACACTAGTGGGTTTGCTGGTCCCTTGGATGGTTAGGCTTGAAAAACTACCGTTTTGGTCCAAAAACAAGGCACAAGGTTTGTAGGTTTTTTTTAAGGCTCAAAATTGAGGCTTCCTAGTGAGGAAGTCAAGCATTTGGACAAGCGTACAAATCATCATTGGGTGAGTAATCAGTGGCGCCCAAGTCTTAAAGGCGGTAAAAAATGGGGTGTTTATAATTTACCTAATGTTCTGGATGCAAATCTTGCAAGAAATTACCCACCACCACTAGACTACATTGTTTTAATATCTCGATCTTCTGGTTGTAGCATGTTACGGTAAGTGCGTAAGCACATTCCCGTAACTTGCGCATCAACCTAATTTTTGATCTACATTCACATATCTCATCCAATCTCTCAAGTTCATTTGAAGATGTAACAAGTAGAATCCGTGATGCGCCGTCGGAAATACGGAAGGCATTGGCATCGACTATAACAAACCAGCGTTACAATCGGACACAAACGTCAATGTCCTACCACCGTTCACAACTTTCGCCAAATGACGCAAGAACCACTCCCATTTACATGCATTCTCAGAATCAACTATAGCAAAAGCGACTGAGAACAAACTTGTGGAGTGGAGCTTTAAGAAATGTGTAACCCATAAATATTGCATTCTGGAAATTACAAGTAATAGACATGATAAAACTAGAGCAACTTACATAGATAAAAGTCATAGAAACTTGCAACCTTTATTGGTGTGTCACATATGACAGTATGTTGACATTGAAAGAATTGTAACAACACTTTGGAAAAACAAACCCATACCTTGGTTGGCATCCTTGGCCGTCGCGGCGAGCAGATTCCCCTTGAACCTACCTTTCAAGAATGTCTCATTGAGAAACAAAAGTGGGCGCCAATGGTTGAACCCATCTATGCATGCACGAAAAGAAATAAAATATCTAATGAACTTACCCGTTTGTTGATCAAAATCCAAGTTGATGTAACTATGTGAGTTGTTCTCCATAACAGCGTCGCTATACCACCTGAGTTGGTCGAACGACATTACGTGATCCCCATATACTTCACCCATCGCCTTCTCCACCCCTAACCAAGTAACACGATAACTAACGTCCACGCCATATGCATTTTTCATATCAAAAACCACATCGGTCAGGCGAGAGAGCGGTTGTTCCTACACACGATCTGCAATGACATCAGACACCAAATCCGACACCGTACGCGGGTTTCTAAATGTTTGTACAGCAGCACCGCAAGAATGTAAGCTATTAAACCTCTTCAAACAAAACACCCCATTCGATGCCGTCACCTTACTATGAACTAACCACAAACACCCAGTTGATGTTGCGAATCGACACACAGCTGTGACCCGGACTGGATCATTCTTCATATACTTGAACTGAAACCCACATTCGATGGTATACTTGCAAAGTACAGACCAAAATTTGTGTGCGCCGCCCCAAAAGGATTGGCTAACATGTTTAATTCCATAAGCCCACAGAGCGGACAAAAACGTCTTCGACTTATGAGGACAAATAACAGCAACAAATCCGACCTATCATTCATATCACACATTCAGACCTCTACAGACTCACACCCACCCGCATTGAGAGAATCCACCCCCCCGCGTTGAACGTCCGCCCCATCGCACATTATTTCAATAATCACATCAATATGACCAATATCGAATGATTTCGCAAGGGCCAACATGTTTTGAACATCATCATCACAAACAATCTTAAACTTGTTGTATCTGGGAATGTTAAACAAGAAAAACACCAGCCCCGGCACCAAATAGTCGAACTTCCCACATACACCATTAATCAACTGTGCAAAAGTGGAATCTTGATTAAGACGAACCATCGCATTCGTCTGCCTATATGTACACAACAACACAATGAACTCCATCCCTACAATCATAAAAAATAATGGGTTACACTATTATGAACACCCACCATTACGTAAATTACTACCCCACATCACCCACCCACACCAGACAACAAAGAAAATGCCATGAAAATCAACTAGAAACTTAAAATTAACAACATCATCAGCAGACCACGAGACACCCCCCCCACCAAAACCAAATGAAACCTCATACAATATAATAAATCCCCCCCCCCCCCGAAAGAAGAAAAAAAAAAGAAAAAAAAAGAAAAGAAAGGAACACCCAACAAACGTCACCTTCAACCAGCCGCATAGAACATTGAAACCCTACCCCCTCGAAACAGCAATAGGAAAAAAAAGAAAAAAACCACCGCAACCCTATTAGAAGCACACTACATTCCACATCAACACCAACAAACCCAGTCATGAAACATTCCCAAACCCCCCTCCCCTCGTGAAAAAAAATAGAAATCCCAAACATACCTTACGCGCACTCTATTAACATCAATACAAAATCAATACACAATTAATATTAAGGGCAAACAAGTCATACCACATACCTCAAATCAAATTAAATATAACATATCAATAATAAAAAAGTCTAAATGATTTGAAAGAAAATCTTTAGGACTAAATGGACTAACTTTTTCTCAAATGGGATTTATGGGTAATTTTCTGGCGACCACAAAATTGGTTGGTAAAAATACGCTTTCTGTGACAAAATAACTTTTAGTCATGTTATAAGAATTTTTGCCTACCAAATAATTTAGTCGCCAACCAAATAACATAATTTTTACTTTTTCTCTTTGCTGACCAAATATTTGGTCAGTAAACATTTATTTTTAGTGACTAAAATTATTTTGTTGGCAATATTTAGCTACTAAAAATAATTTAGTCGCCAAAGGTACATATTTTAGCTACTAAAAATAATTTGGTTGGCAAAGGTACACATTTTAGCTACTAAAAATAATTTTATCGGTATTTATTTTATTTCTGGTGACTAATTGAGTTTTAGTCGTTCAAAATAATGTTTTGGGCTACAAAAAATAAAATTGGTCCCTAAATGTGCAATCTTTAGCTACTACAAGTAATATAGCCAGTATTTATTTAACTTTTAATTACTAAATTTTAGTTGGCAATTGTAATTAAAAGTTTTGGAGGTAGGATTTCAAATTTTGGAGGGATTTTTAAATTAATTTGGTGAGGAACTCTGGAGGGATTTTGGAGGGATTTCAAACACACTAAAATGAGTTAGGGCTTAAAGACATATGTCTCTCTCACTCTCATCTACCCTCCTCTGATTCTCTTTCTCTCTCTTCAATTCCTTGTCGGAAACCCAACCCCAAACTCCCTATTACTGTCTTCATTTTCTCTCTTCCTCACTTCCTCTCTCCGCCATCCCAATCTTCATCAACAGTGGTAGCCCCAAACTCTCTATTTCAGCCATAGTGGAGATTTCAAAAGGAGCCACTGCAAAAAGGAAGATTTCACTGGACCACCACCATCTCTAGGGAGATTGGTACTCGGTCGTCGTCAATATTCAAGGAGATCCGAAACAGGTATTTTAATTAATTAAGTTCTTCATTTTCCCCCTTGATATCAGATCAATCTCTCTCTACAAGATAGCATATTTGAATGTCTGCTTGTGTATTTTGATTGTTTGGTTCAATTCCATAGATGACAAAAAGTTAGGTCTTTATGTATGAGTAACTTGATATACACACACACACACACACACATATATATATATATTTCTGCATTGTGGAGAATATGTATTGGGATTTTTTTTGTTTACATATGTGTATTTATGCAAAAATTTTGGGAGCTTAAAAAATTGAAGGCAGTGGAATAATTAGAAAAATTAAAATTGGGTTCCTTTTTTTGTTTGTGCTTGAATTTTGGGCACATTTCATCACTGGAGCTGTTGGTAAGCTGTCCGCCTTCTCATTCTTTGTGAAACATTGATTCATGCAAGAATTTCCTTACTGGATCTTTGCTACTTTTATCCAAGAACATGCCCCGTTAAATCATGGAAAATCTTGTTTGGTTGTGGACTTTTTAGGTTATATTAGAGAGCTTGAGAATAGCAAGTAAGCATTATATATATTTGTCACATTCAGAGAGGCAATAATTGAAGTAGAATACAAGAGCAACATTTTAGGAAAGTGAAGTTATAAACAAATATAACAATGAAGGGTTAATAATTTTCTATGAAGTTTGGATTGGACTCATTGGTTTGTCTCATTTCAATTTGATGCTTAAAGTTGGATTTCCATTATTAAATTCAATAATAGAAAATCTAAGAAGTCTATATTGGTTAAGATGTAATTCAAATATTTTTCTTTGTTTGTTTACTTTTCTGTAAATGTAGTTGTTGAAGTTTGAGATAACTGGAATTAATTGTTGATACTAAAAAACTGACTTCACCAAAGTTATAATTACAAAATGACCCTTAACATGATGCATAGCTGCTGGAATGATAGTCATGTTATATATGCAGAGCAAAAAAGTTGCTGGAATTCTCCTCCTCATTGACGGGAGGACTTGCTTGCTTCAAGTGAATACAATTGTTTGCTTTCCAAATGCTTGGTCATTATTCAATTTATTTATTTAGCTCAAGTCATCGAGGAGTAGCATTCATAGAGTAAGCACACTGTATCTTATGTTATACATTTTATTTAAGATTTCATTATCCATGAGTGCAATTACTTTGATTTGTTCCCATTTAAATGCACTTTTCCCTAAATTAAATAAATTCGTTATGAGATACCATTTAAATTTATCCATCTTGGAGACAAACTTGAGCAATTACAATTCATTTTGTAGATTGAGGCACGTGGTGGTTAGGCACTTGAGCAATTACAATAGAAACATAAATTTTTGTTTTTGTTTTCTCGTTTCTCCTTTTATTAGCAATTAACCTTAGAATAAATCTAATTTTTCGTGAAATCTGATACTTTTTTTCAAGTTACTATGAGATTGTTGTATTTTTCTCCCTTTGCGCATTTAACTTTGTAAAGCATGTTTTTGTTATCAAATTGTATTATCAAGTTTTGTGATTTTCTTTCAAATCGTATTAGGATGTGATTGGTTGTTGACAAGTTTTCTTTCAAATTGCCCATTTTCTTTGTTGACAGTACCTGTTCAAGTGCCCATTAAAATAACTTCATTCTTTGTTCTATAGGAGAAGCAAAATTCCAAGAGGGAAATTGAATGGCTTGAGTTGAAGCCTTGTTTGTACAAGCGTCAGTGAGCTTTGGACAAAAGTGCTTGTGTCTCAAGATCAATGAGCCCAAATTGATATTGCTCTAGCTACTGCAGTGTGTAAAAGTTTTTTCGTGACCCTGATGTGGCAATACCAATTTTTTACATGTCTACATGGTTAATGAAGCTGCTAGATGTTTGTGATATTGTATTCATGTTGAGGGCTGGTTCTCTCATGTACATGAATTGCCTACTGCTTTAATTTGTGCCCCTATGGATTCAGAGCATCCCTTCATGCCTTTTATAGGGGATAGAGGATTCATAGCTTGAGGACCTAATTCTTTGCCTTTGTTTGGCAAGAACTGTTTTAACATGCCATCGCTTGTATTACATTTAGAATTTGACGTTAAATATGAAATTTTTGGATGGTTGAAAGTGAAATGTGTGAACGTTGTGGAATGGTTGCTAATATAACCAATATTCAAGGATTATTTTGTTCATATACAGGGTACATGTTGCACTCACAATGGAATAAATACAGGTGGTCGAGAAAACAATTAAAAAAAAAAACAAATTATAAAGCTTTTGACGGCTAAATATTTTGGTAGCCAAAAATGCAAGCAGAGGTTTTTGATGTCTAAATATTTAGTAGTAAAAAAGAAACAAAAGACTTTTGGCTACCAAATAGTTAGTATCCAAAACAAATTAAAATGAGGGAAGAAACTATTGTTGACTAAATATTTTAGTCACCAAAGAATACGGTATTCTTCGGTGACTAAACTGTTTGGTTGTAAAATAGAAGGAAATGAAAATATTTAGTCTTTTAGCGACTAAACTGTTTAACAACGACAAAACTATTTGGCCGCTAAATGTATTTTTATTAGCGACTAAAATGTTGTAGCGACTAAATATTTTAGTCACTGAAAGAGAATTTCATTTTGTTTTGATTACTTTCGGCGACTAAATATTTTGTCGCCAAAAAGATATGTTAGGCAACTAAGTCCATTTTAGTAGTTGAAGATGAGATAATTAGCGACCAACGTCAATTTAGTTGCGATTGACTATTGCCGACAAGGCTTTGGCGACCAATGGGGCAACGAAACTCTAGTTGCCATTGACTTTCGGCGACTAAAACTTTGATTGCCAAAAGTGTAATTTCCTGTAGTGACGGTTGTGAAAAATTAAGACGGGATAACAGAAAAAATTTAAGACAAAAGATCCTTGACAATTAAAAAGAACATAACAATTTCTCACAACTCGGGAGGTCAAAAATAACTTGTGACAACCTAGAAGTTAAGTGGCTAAGTAGCCACATCCTTTGCCATGCTTGCGAGAGACATGATTGTTGCTTATTACTTTTAAAGATGCTTGAATTTCTTCCATTGTGATCTCTTGGCAATGTTTTATTCATAAACTACCTTTTCTAATAATCTTTATTTATTTTGCTAAGACCTTTGCTTTTGCTAATAATCACCTTGCTCACGGTGTAGAAGTTTCTCTATCACTTGACTCATAGTGGGTCTTGCATCTTTGTCTTCCACTACACATTGCAAGGCCACTTTAATCAATATTTCCATCTTACTTGCATCATATTTCATCATCACTAGGTCTATGATCTCTTTAAGCCACGATTCGTTCACAACACTTTCATTTATTTTTTCTCTGTTGAAAAAATGGTTTAATATAGGCATATTTTTTAGCCCAAATTTGAGTGGGCCCCAAACGTTGTTTGGGGTGGGTCCGAAGAGGTGAAGACAGAACGTCAAAACCATTTATGAGTGAATGGGAAGTTGACATCGTTTTTTGAGTCTAATATTAACTTTTTAGATAAAATTCATTTAAATTTTTTCAATAAAAATTATTGTGGGAATTTAATTTAATTCTAAATTCAAATTTTGGATTCCTAAGTGGTTTCTTAAAGTTTGCAATTGTGGGAATTTAATTTAATTCTAAATTCAAATTTTTGGGTTCTTAAGTGGTTTTCTAAAATTTGTACCTCTTCCTTTATTTATTAAACTATTCAAATATTTTAATATATATATATATATATTCTAATTGTTTAGTATATATATACCAAATAGTTTAATAATAAATTTTCCAAAGAGGTGGAAGGAATCTGTTCCACTAACGGCTCACTTTTTTCATTTGTTTGAAATTTTGTTCCGACCAACGGTCAATTCATATATTCAAATTGTGAATAGTTTTGCACCTGTTAACTTCGGGGTTTGGTACCTGTTCGGGGCTTTGGAAATTTGCCTATAAATACAACTTGATTCCAGCAGTCTAGGGGTCGGAAAAAATTCAGTCTGTTATTTTGTCTCATTGCTGTCTAATTTTTCTCTAGTGCATTTATTCTTCATATTTAGTTTTAGAATAATTTAAAGACAATATAGATCACAGGTTTAGTTCGCCGAACAAATTTGTTTGAAATGCTTCTACAAATTTGTGAAGATCATTGTATCCTGGGAGATAGACGCCACTCAACCGTAAGCACCATAGTGGGGCGAATCTGTCTTAAGGGCAGAGTGTCACACACTTGACTTGGTCTTGAATTATTTATTCGGTTCAACGAAATAAATTCTGTAAGATTTATTTTATTTTGTTTGATTTAATTTTAGTTTATTTTATTTACACAGAAGATTGTTCCAACAATCTTAAGACAGATTCGAATTTATTTTATTTACAGAATTTTTTCGTTTGTTTCCTTTTCTCATTCTTCTTTTAAGAAAATTATTTTCGGTAAATTTACAAAATAATATTCTGGTTGGAAAAATAAATAGTGATTATATGCTATTTGACAAATAGTAGTAATATATTGTCTATTTTCTTTGACAACTAGTAGTACGATACTGGTGTCATTAACAATTCAGAATATATTTTTGTGGAATTTTTTCAGAAATTAATTTTGGGGTTTAGAAATTATTTTCTGAGTTTTCATTACTTAAAATTCTGTTTTAGTATTTTAACTATTGAAGTGCTACAGAAATTAATTTTCTGTGTGGAATTAATTTGGTTGAATAAAATTTTATTTTATTTCCAAGTTAATTGAAAAATAAAAGTTATATTCTTATTTCTTTTATTTTATAGAATTTAATTTCCTGTGTGGAATTAATTTGGTTGAATATAATTTTATTTTATTTCCAAATTAATTGAAACATAAAGTTATATTCTTATTTCTTTTATTTTACAGAATTTAATTTCTTGTGTGGAATTAATTTGGTTGAATAAAATTTTATTTTAGGGAGCTTTTTTGATAAATCCATTTTCAAAGAGCTTTATTCCATCCAACCCATATTCTTTTTGTCACATTGATAAGAGTGTAAAATTGACTCGCGTCCCATGGGCGGCTCGGGGCAAGCCCGATCCGGTCCGTTGACAATGTGAATATTCACATTGACATATTAACATTCACATTGATAAGAGTGTAAAATTGACTCGCGTCCCATGGGCGGCTCGGGGCAAGCCCGATCCGGTCCGTTGACAATGTGAATATTCACATTGACATATTAACATTCACATTGATAAGAGTGTAAAATTGACTCGCGTCCCATGGGCGGCTCGGGGCAAGCCCGATCCGGTCCGTTGACAATGTGAATATTCACATTGACATATTAACATTCACATTGATAAGAGTGTAAAATTGACTCGCGTCCCATGGGCGGCTCGGGGCAAGCCCGATCCGGTCCGTTGACAATGTGAATATTCACATTGACATATTAACATTCACATTGATAAGAGTGTAAAATTGACTCGCGTCCCATGGGCGGCTCGGGGCAAGCCCGATCCGGTCCGTTGACAATGTGAATATTCACATTGACATATTAACATTCACATTGATAAGAGTGTAAAATTGACTCGCGTCCCATGGGCGGCTCGGGGCAAGCCCGATCCGGTCCGTTGACAATGTGAATATTCACATTGACATATTAACATTCACATTGATAAGAGTGTAAAATTGACTCGCGTCCCATGGGCGGCTCGGGGCAAGCCCGATCCGGTCCGTTGACAATGTGAATATTCACATTGACATATTAACATTCACATTGATAAGAGTGTAAAATTGACTCGCGTCCCATGGGCGGCTCGGGGCAAGCCCGATCCGGTCCGTTGACAATGTGAATATTCACATTGACATATTAACATTCACATTGATAAGAGTGTAAAATTGACTCGCGTCCCATGGGCAGCCCGGGGCAAGTCCGGTCCGGCCCGTTGACAATGTGAATATTCACATTGACATATTAACATTCACGTTGATAGGAGTGATAGGAGTGTAAAATTGGCCCGTGGCCCGTGGGCAGCCTGAAGCCCGCCCGCTGCCCAGGGCGGGCCCGGCCCGGCTTATTGACAATGTGAATATTCACATTAACATATTAACATTAATATTGATAAGAGTGTAAAATTAGCCTGTGACCCGTGGGCAGCCCGAAGCCCGGCCCCGGGCCGACACGGGCCCAGCCCGTTGACAACGTGAATATTCACATTGACATGTTAACATTCACATTGATAAGAGTGTAACATTAGTCCGTGCCCCGTGGCTGTCCGAAACACGCCCACGGCCCATGGGCGGCCCGAGGCGGGCCCGGCCCGGCCTGTTGACAATATGAATATTCACATTGACATGTTAACATTCACATTGATAAGAGTGTAAAATTGACTAGCGTCCCATGGGCGGCCCGAAGCCCGTAGGCGGCCCGGGTTTGGGTCCGGGCCTACCCCGGGCCGCGGGTGAGTTTCGGGCAGCGGACAAGTTTTACACTCCTATTGGACTTATACGCTACGCGAAGCCGGTTTGATCATTGGACTTATACGCTACGCGAAGCCGGTTTGATCATTGGACTTATACGCTATGCGAAGTCGGTTTGATAATTGGACTTACACGCTGCGCGAAACCAGTTTGATAATTGGACTTATACGCTGCGGGAACCCGGTTTGATAATTGGACTTATACGCCACACGAAGCCGGTTTGATAATTGGACTTATACACCACACGAAGCCGGTTTGATAATTGGACTTATACGCTACGCGAAGCCAGTTTGATAATTGGACTTATACGCTACGCGAAGCTTGTTTGAAAATTGGACTTATATGCTACGCGAAGCCGTTTTGATAATTAGACTTATACGCTAAGCAAAGCCGGTTTGATAATTGCACTTATATGCTACGCGAAGCCGGTTTGATAATTGGACTTATACGCTGCGCGAAGTCGGTTTGATAATTGGACTTATACGCTACGCAAAGCCAGTTTGATAATTCAAGATTTATGCAGTGCAATGTAATGTCATGGAGTGATGATAAAGCTATGAAGATGGCAACATAGGAGGCAAGCTTAGTGCAAAACACACGAAGCAAGCCACATTCTACCTGGCC